TAAAAATTTGCTTACATTCCCCAACCTCAATAGCTACTAGCTAAGCTTTTTCCAGCAATGCGTTAAGCAGCACAAGTAAACATCTGGCATCCGTGTAATTCTGCCATTTTTCTTCACAGCAAAAAAGCATGCCAAGTATAACTGCAAAAATATTTTAGATTATTTCTTTTTTTAATACACTTATCCCTATTTATGTACTTAACTACTAAGTGAGGAGAGAAAGTTTGCACTTAAAGGACAGCGGGATTTTTAATGTTCTGTGAAGACAGATTTTGAAATAATTATAGATATTCTGTGCAGAATACCTATGAGAGATTATACAAGGAGAAAATGTGCCTTTTAGACATCCTTTACATAATACAAAAGAAAATATGTCTTTAAAGATACGTTATGCAATCTTGGTGGCATTCTGTTTGTGATCCAGAGTGACACAATGTTATCTTTGCACATGACAAAACGACTTGTACCTATATGATTATAAACAAATTCAACAATAATAACACAATCCTATACAGTTGAGCACATGAAACATGCATTACTAATATAAACATGACTTCAGTCAAATTGCCTTATAAATGAAAATTAATGGTCTGAAATAGGTGATTTGAGGAAAACCACTTTGAATGATAACCACACAGCAAGTCCACATTCACAACTGGACAATTCTGTCCATAAATTCAAGCTTTTAAATCTCTTCATACTGCAGAACTATCAAAGGATTTTTCACTAACAGTGCTGGCTTGCCAGCAAACTTCTTGCACCTCAGCATGGCGTGGCCTGAGTCAATTGCAAATTTCTCATCTGGATACCAGGGAAAACCTGTCATGCATCCAGGCAGGAGCTTTTCTGGGGTCTGAGAAAGGCAGAGTAAAGAATCCCTTCAGAAATCTCATAAAAAGAACTTGGAAGAAATCTTAAAGAGGTTATATTTCACTTTCAGCTCCAAGGCAGAATCAGGTCTTCCTACGTTATTCCTGATGCATATTTATCTAGCTTGTTCTAAATATAATAATGGAAATTCTGCTGCCTCCCTAGGAAATCTCTTCCTGTATGCCATCTGTAGTGCTATGTGCTTCACCTGAAAGTCCCTTCTTGCTATTAAACTGCTTCCTGTATCTCCACCAGGTATGAAAAAGTGTTTCTTTCCTACTTAATACTTCAACATGTATAATATAGAAAAGGTGTTATCACATTTTCCTTCAGTCTTTGTTAAACCAAATAATATAATTTCTTTCCAGCCCCAATCATGCTTGTTACTCTTCCTAAAATTCCTTCGCCTCTATGATCCCAATCGGTCCATGCTTTTCTTGCATCACACTGCCTAAAAATGGAACAGTGCTTGCTTTGAAAATTCACCAGTACCTAATGCCACTGAGGAATTCCTTCATGTGTCTTGTAGTCTACTACTGTACATTTTCTAGTATAGCAATGGAAAAGAGGAGAGAGCCTTAATCACCTTGTTTTTTTTATTTTCTGAGACATCATCCAGACAATATAAAAGGGAAGATTTTGTTTCCAAGAAACTTGTCACAACACTTTTTGAAAAATGTATTTCAGATGGATTTAAATCTGCACATAGACTAAATTATTTTTGGAAAGCTGTGATCAACAGGAACCACCTGTTTCATTTATAATGGTCTCTATATTGTTTAATCCATCTTGATTGAGCAAAAATAGTGTTTTAAGAGATCTTACAGAACAGTCTGAGAAACGCTTTTTTTTAAGGGGTTCTAAGGTTAGGCCTAACTACCATATCTATGAAAGACATTACATGCTGCTAGGAAAATGGGGTTCCCATATACAAACATAGTTAGTAGAGATGCCCTATGACCATTCATAGTAATTCAGAGTGGCATGTCTAGTTTCACCATATGAAAAGTTATACTGTGTATTATCACTACGTAGTAGTTAATTACATTCCATAGAGCCTGCAGCATCACAGGCTCAAAAAGTGAGGGGCATCACAGACTGACATCTTGACTGTGCCCCTCTTGTGCTCTTTTTGCATGCTGTGTCAGTCTTTCGAGTTCTTCGTTCAAAAGAATCAAAAAAAGAAAAAAAGAAGGGTTGGGGAGGGGGGGAGCAAAATCTCTCCACAATAATTCAATTGCGTAAGATACAAACTGCTTTGTGTTGGACACATAATCTGCTTCTGTAGAAAGGATCTCAAAGTAAAAAGCTTACATTTATTTCCTCTTCCCTGCTTTTCCCATCCTTACCCTTTCTAGTGGAATGACAGAAATAATGACTTGATGTTTGGCTTTTCTGAGTCACGGTCTTGGGAGCGGAAGTGCCATAATTACCTCATTGCTACCATCACAGCATTGTAAATATTAAACACAAAAAACAATGTTTCAATAACTTTGAGGTTTTGACACTTACTGAGAAAAGCCAGGGAGTTCATAGTTAATGTTTCTTCTCTTTAAGTTACTTTCTTCAGTATTTTTAGTATACTTCTGCTTTATAAGCCATAGATTTTCATTACTAGTTGAATAAGCTTCTGGAAGTCTATCTCTCTATATTGCTGATTTCAGTCTATTGTTGATGTACTACAGGATTCACCTACTGGAAAGGACCTCTGATTAGCTTTCACTGCATGCCATGTATGTAATCAGACTTCCAAGACCTGGAATAAGCCTTCACATCTGCTCATATAATAAGGTTAGGTGTGTACATACCCTGGCTTCAGCAGCAGTGGAAGGAAAGATGAGATTATTGTTGAGCCCATATCGTTTACTTCTTGGAAAGGTGCATGTTCACAGCTGTATTAATGCAAGCGTTATTAGAAAATAAAATGAGGAGCAGAGAAAAGAGAACTTTACAGGTTTATCTATATTTATTCTATGCATGATTAGGGAAAAAAATGTGATTATTTGTAATCACAAATAGAAGAATTTAGTAGCGCTGCTATTTGGGGAATGGCTGTTATTCTTTGCTTAGTTAAGGGACCTTGTTTCTGGCCTACTCTTAAAAATAGCACCTAATCTGTGCTGCTTAATCAGGGTTTTTTTTTTGTTGATTTTTGTTGTTTTGTTTTTTTTTTTTCCTGCCTTACCCCAGTTTCAATGGCCTCTGTGGCTGTTGCACAGTGCATGTTCCCTTCAAATGTGCTGAATTTCATTCAGAAATATTCACCATGACAAATATTACAGCTAGGTGTAGAGACACCTGTAGAGACATCTGTGGTAGCCCAAGAAGAAGTATATTAGGAATCACTTTTGACACCTAAGGCTTTCAGGGTATAATTCTCTGCTTGCTCTCCTAGTTTTATACTGAATCAAGGTGACAACTCCTTGCTATGCTCTTCTATGGAAGAGCTCGGAATTGGATTCATCTCTGAGACTCGGCTCCGCCATTTCTGGTGATGCCTCAGAAAATCTGCCGCCACTTCAAGCTTCACCTTCTGCTCAAAACGGCTGACTGAATAAGGACTTTCATGGCCACAGAAATCACGTATTAGGGGGCTAAGGAGTCCTACCGAGCACAGCTCAATGCCAGCCACGCATGTCCCCTCTCCCTCACAAAGGTGATTGGTGTAAAATGGCTCATGTGGAATGACTGAGTGGAATTGCACCTATAAAAGAGCGTAACTGAAGAACCCGTGTGTGCACCCACCACCGACTGCTGAGGACCATCAACAGAGCCACGGGATGCCGCAGGATCCAGGGTGGTGACTATCTGTAGTTTTAACATCTTTTTCTCTTTCTCTGTACGTTAAATAATTACCCTCAGGTTTGCAACTAATAAAACGATACAATCTTAGATTAGTGTTACCGTGCCTCAACTGTGCTTTGTTCGAACTCGGGGATCTTGAATCTATTTCTTTATCAGTCAGGATTCTTAGGGAGGAGTGTACTTTGTCCACAGGTGGGTAGAGCACACCAATAGGGAGGCTCCACTTGCGGCTGACTGCATTGCGTTCACTGTGGGTTGCTGTCAAGGGCCAGGGCCTGGCAACCATTGAAGCCTTGTGCTAGCAAAAAGTAAGTTGGAACCTGACAGCATCCTGGAGTCTAAATAACTAAGTTAAATTAAGAAGTGCTAAGTGATAGGTAAGGAAAACGAGCTGAGGAAGAGCTACTCCTTTTCTACTATGAGTACTTGTATTTAACCAAAGGTTAATTCTAAGGCATTATGTTTTCTTTATTATATTCATTTGTGTTTATTTAGAGTAAGATTAGGACAAACGTTTAGTTTATTATTAAAATGCTCTACATGGAATCTTTTGAAGTGCACTTCATCCTTGACCAACTAAATAGTTGTAAATGAAGTACTTCTGAGGCAAAATTGGCAAAATGTGTTTGGGACCCAAAATCGGTCTATCAAAATGTCTTCATCTATGGTACTTTGGTATTTGTAGTTAGTCCTAAGCTGCATTTTCTATTCAAGATTAACCAGATCACAATTCATATTTTTGCAGTTTAGAAGAATGGAAATAGTTTTTTTAATAGATGTTCCAATCTTCCCTTTGTACTGCACACACTTATTTACATTTTTCTATTACTTCTGGTCTTTAAAATCTAGCAGACACCCACTCAGATGTGTCCTTTAATACCAGTCTTTAGAGCATGCAACAGAATACGAACTTGACTGAAAAATCTAGCTGACAAAATGACAGTGACAAACCCACCTATTTTTGCACGACATCTTGCAAAACATTAGATTCATCAAAAAGGAGATGTATGGTTGCCAATGATTTTTACAAACAAATCTTTCAAAATATTAATGAGTTTATTTAATCTAAAGCATCCACACACCTTGGAAGAAAAACATTTCTTCCCTTTTGGGGGGTGGTTCTGTTTTCTGTGCTAGAGATTTTATTCTTTGTTCTTTCTCTGTGTTTTCTTAATTGCAGCTTATTCAAATTGCTTTCGCTATGTGGCCTTACTTGCCAAAGAAAATGACAAATGTCTTTAGTACATGGGCAGAGGCAGTGGAGGGAAACACCAAACCAAACACCTCAAACACTTACTTAGCATTTAATTCAGTTGTGGTTGACAGGGAAGGGAGTGACACAGGCTGTTAACTAGTTCAAAGCAGAGGACAGGTAAGAACACCAAAGGAAGCTATAACAACTTCTCTAGTTCAAATACATGAAACTTCTGTTTAGAGCTAAACTAAGGAGGCTTGTTCATGGAAAAAGCCAAGAATAAACCTGTTAAGCTCATTGTAGAATAATGAGGTAGTATATATTGAAGATTAATCTTCAAAAACATAAACTGTTTAATTAAAGAATCTCTTTTAGGTTCTCCATGATCACTCTGCAGAATAACAGAGAAGTAAACAGATAAATATAAAGCAGAAGACAAGTGTATAAGCTGTTTAAGATTACTGAATTTGTGAATGACTTAATTAGAAGTGGGTTTTCCATCTATCTTGAAACACAGAAAGGAGTAACCTACTATTTCTGTTTAATTTGAAGTTGCATGGCTGCACTATTTCTTAAAAAGAAATCAAAAAGGCATTCAGAAATACTGCCTGATATTTAGTTAATTGGGGGAAAAAACAAATGTAATGAATTCTGCTAGGATACTGTGGGAATTAATGGATTCCAGATTTGTCTTCCATTGTGTTTAGTGTGGCAGTAGCAGCTTGTAGAGGTTAACTGCTTGACAGTCTGATATGATAACCACATGGATGAGGCTGAAGCATGGGGCTCTAACTGCTGCCAGGGTTGGATTTCCTTGCTGATGGTTGCATAAGAACTTCCTGAACTAAATATGTAAATGTGGATGTGTTACTTCTCTGCATTTAATAGGTAATGCAAATTGGAGCTGTTAGTATGATGAGGTTTTTGAGAGTGGGCCTGTGAGAATCTGGAAGTGACGCCTCAATGGCCAAAAAGTCCTGGCTGAACTTCCGCTTCCTACATCTCCTTCCTCCCTACAACTCTCTCCTCCTAAGACTAAGGACTTGCCCAAAGCCTGTGAGTTATATCATGAAGTTTGGAAGGGAAACAACAGAAGAGTCATGAGAGATGCCAGAGAAGGAAGGGGTCATGCTCATCTTTACTCTTCACAGGTTAGTGTAAGAGAAATCTTTCTCTAACCAGCATTTTCAGTTTAGCTTCTCAAAAAAATGGAGTCTTGTTTCTGTTTTACTATATTTGGGTTGGTTTGTTGTTTTTTTTTTTCCTCTCTCTCTGGGAAACCAGTATGTCTAAGTCCATTTACAGCTTACTCCCACTTTCTTCCCTTACTTACAGAACACAAATATAGTATGATGTGGAAATCATCCTTCCTGAAGGCTTCTATTTCTTTGTTAACCCATGAAGATTATAATTCTTCTACTTCAAAAGGCCTTCCGTTGCCAGAACTGCTATGCTACTTTACGTCTCACAAGAGCTTTTCCTGTATATAAATTTTATAAAACTCATATCTAGTTTAACTTCCTACTAACATTAGATATGACACTATGAAGGCACATGATATATGTAATGGGATTTTGCAAGGAAGAAAGATCATTTGGATAAAGTTTGCATAGCTCTTCTTAGGCTTATGCATGTATTTAAATTTATAAAAATGATCCTTTGCTATGTGGCACAGGATGCTCTGGTGTCTAGGAATTTTACTGGAATAAAGCTTCTACCTGTAAAACCTAATTGCATAGAATCTTATTTATGTGAGTGCTTAGTCAGTAGAAAGAGTCCAAGAAGAACAGATCACATGAAAATTTTATTAACCTAAAATTCTCTAAAACTGAAGGAGGGAATAATTTCTTGCAGTATCTTCATAGTTACTTTGCAGAGTTCCTAGCTTAATTTTAGTATTCTAAAATAAGTATTAACAACCCATCCGATTAAAAATAATTCTTATTTATTCTTCCCTATTTTTGTCTGCTCTGGTGAATCTTGGTACTTTACCTCTGTTCCGAGAGAAAAATTGGAGCATTTTAGGAATGAGGGTTTTTTTACCCCTGTTGCCATACAGCAGATACTCTTCTACAAAATGACAGTATTTTGCCCTGCATTCTTTTACATCTCATTCAGACTTACTGCAGGTAGTAAAGGGGAAATTAAGGGTTATTTAAGTCATTCACCAAGAGCCTAGACAAGCGTGAACTCTAACTTATACTTAGAAAACGAGAATTTTATTATGTTGGATGCCGAAAACAGCTTCCGAAATTAGGGCAAATACATAGAGCTTATGTCACAGTGCATTGCCAATTTCCACAGTGATAGCCTTTGAGTAATTCTACAAACAAATTTGCTACTTAGAATGAATTTTATTTTTCCATTTGCAAGCCTTTTTTGTTGTGTGGTTTTCTCTTTTTCTTCTTTGGTTTTTGTATGCACTCCTGAAGCAGTGAATCTGTGTAACTGAATCTATGTAAAATCATGAGACACTTAACTAAGGATCTGTGGACCCCTGGGTGCCACCCACAAGAAAGGTCAAATCTGTGCTCAGCTTTGTCAACCTGCTCACTTCTGGTCACTGGGTGCTGCTTCTGCCTCTCCCTCTCTGTTGATGCCACCTAAACATCTAGCCTGTGTGACTGTTATACTAATCCTCGTGTGTCATGCTCCATCAAATACAGACACCCGACTTGGTGGACCTTATATAATCAAGTCTGTCTAGCCTGGGGAGGATAAATTTATCTCTAAAACTCATTCCTTTCCTCCTTCCTTACCCTGGGGCTGGGACAGAAATGCTTATTTTTTATTTTTTTTAACATGCATGAATTCAGTTCTTCCACGATACAACTGTTGTCTTTTTAGACCTCATAATGCCTCCTGCACATAAATATTAATTATATTGCTTGCCTCCCACAAAAAAGAGAAGCTTTTTTCCTTGTATTCCGACAAGTCAGTGCCATGTTTTGGTGTAAAGTATCTCACATTTGGCTTAAAGGTATTGGCCTTTATAGTGAGCAGACTCCATATTGTATCAAGCATGTTCATGGCCCAAGTACAGAATCTGGTGAAAACAGAGGCAACAATAACTAAAAGCACATTTGGGGATGACTTCCTAGTGGCTTCTTCCTCAGTATACTGCAACAAAAACCTCTGAACTACGAATTATTTTTCCGCTCTGAGAGAAAAAGATTTCTGTATCCCAAATATCTCTTCCTTCTCCTCCCTCATCTGCAGTTACATAAGAATGTTTGTTTTCTTTAATGGAGAGAAAAAAAAAAAGCTTAATTGCTTGTAATGGGAGTACGGGTGTTTCACTAAAAGCAACTTATTTCTCCTGCCTTGACTGTAAAATTGGTATAGACGGCAGGCACTGCATGGCAGTGCTACTGATAATTCTCCTTCTGATGGGATCAATAAGCGGTTTACGAGTTATTTTGCTGTCATCGGGGCCCAGACGCACGCTGCCCCCTCCTATGTGCAGGCAAAGTCAGCTCCTATCCTTAGAAGAGCAATGGTACGGAGGGAGAGCCGGCAGCTGCGGGCCGCAGCCTGTAGCGGCCCCGGGGTGGCAGGGCTGTGGTCACCAACCCCGGGCTCGGCTGCGCTGGGGCTGCAGGATCGGGACGGCAGGAAGGTAGAGAAAGGGGGCACCGCGCTTCCTGCGCCTCCCTGGAGCGACACAGCCCGCTCCCTGCGCTGGGAAGTGGAGTTCAGATTCCCCTTTGGAACGAAGCTGAACGGCCAGACCCGGGCAGCAGCGTTAGTTCTGACACGCTGTTTGTCTTTAAATCACTGCAACGGAGCGCGGAGCTACACCCACGAGTCAAAAGAACTATGAAAGTTTTGGCCGCACAGGGCTGGTGTTGCGCCCCGGACTGTTATCGTGCGACCTGCTTCCCGACTAGTCGCTGCCCCCGGCGGGAACAGCGCTCTCCCCCAAAGTGCGGGGTCCCTGCCCCTAGTCAGCGCTGGGCGGGTGTCCGAGTCCTGTGTGTGCGGAGTCCTCCCCACTTGGCGGGTGCGATGGTGGCTCAGTGTGCTGCAGCAGGTAGAGCGCTCGAGCGGCAGGGCCTCCGGCTTTCCACGTTCCCTGTCGCGGAGTGAAGCCGCTGAACGCTGGGAGCTGCAGAGGGCTGCGGGCCGGTAGGTGAGGCACTTACCGACCCAGCCGGAGTTACTCAGACAGTAAGTTTCTCCACTAAAAGGTCAATTTTAGGTGAATTGGATGCCTCAGTGTGTGCTTGTCGGAGAGTGTCGGGTGTCTACAGTAAATTGAGGCTTGTGGTTGCATGTGCATAACTTTTGGCCTTGATGTTTTGACTCTATAGTTATGCTGTGTTTATGGGTTTGGGGAAACTTGTTTCTGAATCGTGTTTTATACCTTTTACTCAGCGCTGGCATATCTATGCGCCTTAAGTTTTTTGTTGCAGAAGACTTCTTTCTGGTTTTAAACAAATGGGGCAGGGAAGTAAAAAAAAATCTGCAAAGGTGCAACGTACCAGTGTCTGTTCTCTCGAGTTTCTATGCAGTGGTGCAAAATAAAACCACTGAAATGTATTATTGGAAGCTGAAGGTGATTAGCCTTCATGTTTTAAACAAAAACCCAACAACAAGTTAAAACCAACAATAGATCAACAACCAACCAGAGCTCCTTAGAAAAAGGTCAAGAAAATGAGCAGAGAAGCAAGAATTACCTGATCAAAGATGATGGGACAATTCTGATTCCTTTCAAGCAGAGGGAGATGACAAAGGTGTGGGCAGAACCAACAGAACTAAATCAGCGCTCTGATCACTCACCCTTTTAATATTAAAAAATTGTAGGTACTTATCTGAAGAGTTTAGATTGGACCGAAAACACTAAAAATACTCCACTCATTGACTAACAAGCAGAGAGCCTTGACATTTAGATTAATTTGAAAATTACAGCTCAGGATTTATCTTGTGTATGTTTGAAACATTAGCAAACCAAATTTATCCAGACCTGGTAAAGAAATCACAAAACTGGGGAAAGCATTTTTTTACTTTATTAACTGTGCATCTGACAGTAAATAGAAAACATCCTTTGAGAACAAAATTAAATATAAACCAGCAGTCACTTTCTGACGTTGAGAAAATCACATTTAGTGTCATTGATACTAATATTAGAGAAATGTCCTTTAATATGTTAGTATTCAAAGAGTAAGTTTCCCCTTTTACATTAGCTACAGTACAAAATCATCCCTTGTCCATTGCTCTTCTTAATCTTTTTTTTTTTTTCTCACCTACAAAAGCATCTTTATTAATAGCCCTATAGAAGTTTAGCCAGCAGGATTTCTTAGATCTTTTAATAACCCTCTGAATTTAAGCTTTCCTACTTTCTGTGTATGATCTACCAAGCCCAAAAACTTTAAGGTTGGTCTGACTTTGCTGAAAGCCTTCCTTTTTTGCTTTGACCACCATATAAGAATGAATATCTTGTAAGGGGAAAAGGTGCTTCTTTCCTGCCTGATTAAACTTTGCACAAAATCTCTTATTTGTCACTAGCAATAGTGTCAAAGTGAGATCTGTTGCTGACTAGTGGGCTTGTTCCTCTCATTCTCAGAAGTTTGCTGGGAAACAAAATGGGAATGCTTCTTTTAATTGTCAAAATTTAACATTTGCTCTAATGTGGTATTTCTCTAGAGTAGAACTAAAAGTCAGAAAGGGAAAAATCATCAGTAACTATTAGAAGTAAGGATGTATTTTCAAATGAGAAGTATGATTCTTAATTTCAGAAACTATAAGTAGACATGGTATTCAAATATAAAACATAATCTTGAATTCGGTTTAACAATTTGATTAAACTGTGCACTTCATGCCTTAATGACTTTTTTTTAATGATTGTTCTAATTGTATGGATGCATGGGCGATAATAGCCTTGGAGGTGAAAAATTACCCTTTGAATGGCATTTGTTGTTATTTTGTTAATAGATACATTGGTATACCCTACTACGGGTTACCCGCCTCACTCCTTTCCCTGTAGGATAATAGCCCATGCTGCTTGCTGCTGGCATTGGTGTCTCTGAGGCATTTTGTGCTGATTTGGTCTGACCTCATTCTTTTCAGATGGCAAGAGGTCTGAAAGGACAGCCTGGGTGCTGATCTTATTGCCAGTGTTTTCTCACATATAAGCAGGTAAAGGACTCAGATCCTCATCTTGTTTCCCAGTGACCGGAGCATCTGCAGTAGTATCCCTGGATGCGCTGCTGGGCAGAGGGTTCTGCCGTACTCTGGTATGGCTCCCCTTTTGTCTTGGAGCCCTGCCACTCAGCCTCTCTGCTGTTCTCCTGGCAGCGCCCTGTATTTAATCTTTTGCTGCTCCCCTCCTGTGCTAGGCTTAGAAGGTAGTGCTGTGACAGTGCTTCCTCTGTCGCATTCACAGACGGTTCCACAGGTCCAGGAGTTTGACGGGTCTTCTCTTACAAAAGCTTCGGAGAGAGTCTGGAATAGAAAGAAACAAGTACTGTTATACTGTAATGTCACTGTTCAGGTCCTAGGGTTATGTCTGACCTTTTCCTTGTTCTAAAGGTATCATGTTTTCACATGGAGTTGTGATTGCCCTTGCTGGTCTTTCTGCTGTTCTTCACAGTTGGCCTTTTGCGTACAGTAAGAGACCACTGTGGGAAGCATAGTTTTGGGTACCATTAGTATCACATGGTGAGATCAAAATTATTTTTCTACAGTCATATTAAAAAAAACATGGAGATATAAGAGATGAGAATGCAGCT